CGAACTCCCCCCCGACTCACACACTCACGAATTGAAATACTACTGAGAACCTGATAACATGTATATTTTTATTTTTACAAACCACTGTATGAGTTGCTGCCCCCTAGTGACTGGAGGCTTGTGGTAGCAGTGGTACACTTATGTCCAGCATGCCATATTCCATTGGAAGCCCCTGTGTACCCCACCATGGCCCCCCAGGGGGGGCCCGCCCCACTATTTGAGAAAGGTGACAAAGGTAGTTTATGTGAATTTTGCTGCAGATATTTCTACTGTAAAAAAAAAAAAAAAAAAAAAAATCGTACAAATACTCAACTATAAATAAATCCGCCGAACTCTGCATGATTACTCAAGCGTTGGTTTAAAAACAAACAGCGTCTATTCAAGCAGCCCACGTGGACGCGTCTCAAACAGGAGCTCACGGAGCCCAATGTAAGAGTCAGTGGGTGGAATTGTTTTCCAAACGGACAGACCGGGGTTAGAAGATGGTGGCTGATCTCACAGAAGGACACCAGAGTTTCTGGGACATTTTCAGGACGGACGACAGCGAGCTGTTAAACGCTCGCCCACACGCACAAATGTGGGATATTCTAATGAGCAATCTGGCTGCTCTCTGAATATAACTCCTCTTCACACTGTAGGCGAAGTCCATGCCAGTCTACTGACAGAGATACAGCACAGAACATTTTTTAGAAATTTTTTTTTTTTGTTTTACAGAGACTCCTTCCACCTGCATGTCCTGACACATATGAATTCTCAGAATTATTTGGGAAAAACTGAGAATTACACAGAGAGTATTTTTGTTGTTTCAATAACAGCTGTGAGGTATTTCAAAACTAGCTAAAATGAAGCTTACGTTAGCTAAAGAGTTGGCCATTTCTTTTAGCTTGGTGACACCAATTTTTTTTTCTTTTTAAATCCCTGTCTTGACAAATGAGGTTTCATGGTTGGAATTTAACGATGATTTGAATTGTTTCTCCACAGCTTGAAGTCTTGCGGCGCAGCACGATGGAGGAAAAGATGGTACAGACCGAAGGGGGCGCTACTGCTGTGATGGTAAGAATCACTGATTTTCATTACAATTTTTAATTTTTTTTTTTTTTAAGGAAATTGTGTTTCTGTGTGTTTCTACGTCTATGTAAGGGTGGTGCTCTGGGATGCGTTTACGCTAGGGACTGGGGGACCCCGTAACTTCGAGAGAGAGAGAGAGAGAGAGAGAGAGAGAGAGAGAGAGAGAGAGAGAGACATTGTGATTGTATAATAGTCTGACTTTCCAAGTACTGATTAAAAAACAGAAGGGGGCTTCATTCATTCTAATAGACACTCATTCTAATAGAGACATATAGATACATATATATATATACATAATAGATACATATATACAAATATGTACGTGTCTACAAGTGTGTATTCATATGTGTGTATATATATATAAAATATATAAATATATATAAATATATATTAATATATATACACATATATACAGCTATATATAAAAATATATAAATATATATAAATATATATTAATATATATACACATATATACAGCTATATATAAAAATATATAAATATATATAAATATATATTAATATATATACACATATATACAGCTATATATAAAAATATATAAATATATATAAATATATATTAATATATATTTATATATATATATACAAACATATATGTATATACAGCAAAATACTACAAAGTAGGGACTTTTTAGTACACAAGGCAGTGATTCTCAATTATTTTCTGCCATGCCCCCCCCCCCCTTCTAAGCTCTATATTTCTAGATTTTACATATTTTTTTGCTTGTGTTTAGTTGATTTCTTTTGGTCATATTTGACAAAAAACTTGTTTTATAATTTTTTGGCAATTTTTTTAGCAATTACAATTTTTCATTTTTTTTAAGGAAATTTGTAGTTTACCTTCTTTGAGTAACTTTGCAGTCTTTGCATTTGTGGCCCGTCTTTTAGCTTTTGGCTACATCATTTGCTTACTCGTCAATTTCTATCAATATTAGAGAAATCTGAAATCACGTAAACACGACGTCGTTGTACCAGACAGCCGACCGATACGCTTGCGAGCGTGCGTGTGTTTAATAACATTCGGTGAAAGCAAAAGAAAAAAATATATATATATTTTACACGCAGTCTTTCTCTGCGGCAGATGACATCATCAAAAAGTGTGTAAATGTGTGTTTTTCTGTGGGTGAGAGTGGGCGGGAATAAATGCCAAAGTACCAAAGCCGTGGGTTGAAGCTGGCTTTGTGTTGTGTGTGTGTGTGTGTGTGTGTGTGTGTGTGTATGTGTGTGTGTGTGTGTGTGTGTCCAGCTCTAGGCTCTGGTTCTGGTTCAGGGCTTGCGCTGGGGCTGAGTGGGAGGGTTGAGTGGGCCGAGGCTGTGAGTCAGGTCTGCTCACACACACACACACACACACACACACACATGCGCGCGCTAACAGCCTGTGATGAAAACAGTTCTTTAACAGAAGTTAAATGCCTTTCTCCTGGAACTGTTTTAATGATCGCCAGAATCAGAAGATAACAGAAGTGAATAACAAAATTTTTTTTTCTTTTTGCCGCTAACGCCATTTTCACACTGTCGTTAAAACGTTTGGAGTCAACTCATCGCAAATTCACTCACATGACAACTTGTGTCAGTTTAGCAATCGTCCAAAATTAGCACGCACCGGATCCCATTTGCGAATGCCAACAAAAAAAGATGTTGTTTACGTTTTTTTTTTTTTTTTTTAACTTTATTGACCCCACACTGAGGATATTCATGTGTTAACAGCAGATGCGCTGCAACGGGCAGCCCCTTGGAGGCGCCATGTACCATATTTTCCGGACTATAAGTAACGCACATTTTTCATCCATTAGCTGGGTTTGCGACTTATACTCAGGTGCGACTTGTATATTAAAAATATATAATTTCGCGTTTGTTATTTTCACACTGACAGCCACTAGAGGGCACTCTAGGCTTGTGCACCAGTATCTGCTATCACTGAATATTTACATGTTAGTTTCACACTGACGGCCGCTAGAGGGCACTCTGGACTTGAGCACCAGTATCTGCTATCACTGAATAATTACATGTTATTTTCACACTCACAGCCGCTAGAGGGCACTCTAGGCTTGAGTACCAGTGTCTGTTATCACTGAATATTTACATGTTATTTTCACACTGACGGCCGCTAGAGGGCACGCTAGACTTGTGCACCAGTATCTGCTATCACTGACTCTTTGCATGTTATTTTCACCCTGACGGCCGCTAGAGGGCACGCTAGACTTGTGCACCAGTATCTGCTATCCCTGAATATTTACATGTTATTTTCACACTCACAGCCGCTAGAGGGCACTCTGGACTTGAGCACCAGTATCTGCTATCACTGACTCTTTGCATGTTATTTTCACCCTGACGGCCGCTAGAGGGCACTCTAGGCTTGTGTACAAGTATCTGCTATCACTGACTCTTTGCATGTTATTTTCACCCTGACGGCCGCTAGAGGGCACGCTAGACTTGTGCACCAGTATCTGCTATCCCTGAATATTTACATGTTAGTTTCACACTGACGGCCGCTAGAGGGCACTCTAGGCTTGTGTACAAGTATCTGCTATCACTGAATATTTACATGTTAGTTTCACACTGACGGCCGCTAGAGGGCACTCTGGACTTGAGCACCAGTATCTGCTATCACTGAATATTTACATCTTATTTTCACAGTGTTCAAAACACTAGCTAAAACGAGCTAGGCAAAAGGTGGTCTTTACCGAACGGACATTCCGCCAAGACTTTATATTTCATATCCGTGATTTCAGTCAACAGCCGGTGACGTTTTTGTCGATAAATTATTATTTAATTTTTTTTTTTGCTTGTGCCTTTTTTGTGTTTGATACGTTTCATGTCATTTCAAAATACTATATATTTGTATATTTTATCAGCCTGTTGTCCAACTTTTAACATGTAGATAATCTTTAAAAAAAACATGTACTAATATTCATAAGTACTAAAAAGTATATCAACGCCTGCGACCATCAAAATGTTGTAGCTAGTCTGCAGCTCAGGGTACTGTCGGCCCTGACTGTGCTTTCACTTCAACAGAACTGTTCCTAAAATAGACCCTTACTGACTCCTGTACTGTCACTTTCACAAGAAGAAAAGGATGTCGTCAGTGACAGAAAATGAAATGAGATCCGAAGGAAAAAAAATGATGTATTTACACATTTTATAATATATAACTCGGTAAACTCGGTCGACGTTACAGTTCCTCAGCTAACATAGGCTGCTTCTCCAGGATGATCAGAGAGGTGAGCTCAACCTGTCCAACACCGTGAGGGCATAATAGGCAAATGAGTGGCCCAGGTTGAGGGCAGAAAGGGGACATGTGACCGAGGCTGAAGTTGAAGCAGCTCCAGGTCAAAAAAAAAAAAAGGGAAGGTGGACCAGGGCAGAGAACGGATGAGGAAGTGAGACCGGGAAATGCTGTGACTAGGAAATGCTGAGTGTAGGGTGTAGCACGAAGGTTAGGTGGGTACCATGAGTGCTTGAAAGACCGAAAGACAGGGATGTTTTTGGTTATTGTTTGTTTGTTTTTTTTAACAAAATCGCTTATATATATATATATGCTATCACCTCTCTGTATTTGCTCAAGTACAAAAGTTGATAAAACCCCAAACTCTAATCGACTTTTGAATTTTTGGGGGTTTTCAGTAATCTAGGTTTTACTCTGGTCCCATCACTGTTAAAGAAAATTAATATTTTCTCGCTCGAAAAAACACTCTATAATATATGAAGGCGTCTCTGCTGATGAAATAAAAGTAGAGAATGATGATGGCGGCCATGATGTAGTTTTTGCATTTGACTGTCACATCTTCCGTAAGACGCGCAGACTTATATATTAAAATAAATAATTTCACAAATGTATTTTCACACTGACAGCCGCTAGAGGGCACTCTAGGCTTGTGTATCAGTATCAGCTACTCTTATAAGTTGCACTTTTTTCATCCTTTGGCTGGGTTTGCGACTTATTCTCAAGTGTGACTTATATATTAAAATATATAATTTCCCATGTTTGTTATTTTCACACTGAGAGCCACTAGAGGGCACTCTAGGCTTGCGTATCAGTATCAGCTACTCATGTAAGTCGCACTTTTTCATCCTTTGGCTGGGTTCGCAACTTATACTTATATACTTGACTTATATATTAAAATAAATAATTTCACAAATGTATTTTCACACTGACAGCCGCTAGAGGGCACTCTAGGCTTGCGTATCAGTATCAGCTACTCCTGTAAGTCGCGCTTTTTCATCCTTTGGCTAGGTTTTGCGACTTAGTCTCAAGTGTAACTTATATATTAAAATATATAATTTCCCATGTT